GGTCGGTGCAAGGTCTGCTGGCAAGACTTGCTCCGGTCAGAGCGAAGGGCGTGGCCTAGGTCATAAAATTGTTTACTGCCTGCGGCAAACGCCACAGGGAACCACAACACTTCCTGTGCTCAAGCAGTTAACACGTCAGTGAAAACAGTTTGCAACAACCACTTCAAATTCTACACACAGTTCAGCGAACACGATCCAGTATTTGTGCCCCGTAGAAATTTATTAATTTCAAAAAGAAAATTCGAGCACAAGGCTCCATAAGAGCCGCGTGCAGGTCCCCTTTTTTGTTAGGGCTCCGGAAAGCCCCAAGTGATCCAGGATGGACTCGCCCAAAAACCGGAAGACGGTAAGCGCTTCTGGCAAAACATCCCTTAAATCCTCCCCGTACTTTTCCATAAATTCATAAAACACAATCCGCAAGGAACGAGACGCTCTTCAAGCACAACTCAAAAAAGCCCTAGCTACAACACACTTTTACACCAAATTCCACCGATGAACATCGCTTCATCACAAAACTCCTTCGAATATCATACGTATACATTGGATGAAGACAGGAAACTATCTTTCATCATAAAAGGCCTGGACTCCCACATGGATATCGTCGACATCCAAAACGATATCCAAGATCTTGGCTTCGCCCCAGAGCAAACCCAATTCTACCGTCTAGGAAACTTTAAAAAAGTTTCCAACATGGTCAAAGTGCTGCTGCCACAATCCCAGGCAGATTTCCAACACGTCAAACACATTCTCAACCTGCCAGTCCTTATCGAACCCCAGCGTAACTCCAACACGCTTAACATTAAACATATCCCACAGTGCAAGAAGTGCCGAAAATTCGGGCATTCCCTGACGAACTGTGGTTCAAAAGCCATTTGCCACAAATGCGCCGAGCCGCATTTCTACAGGGAGTGCACGAAATCTCGTGACGTTCCTGCCAAATGCTGCAATTGCGGCGGCCCACATCCGGCCAGCTATTTTTCCTGCCCCAAAAATCCGAACTTTGCCCAGCAAACCGAGGCAAAACGAAAATTAGCCCTTTTCAACAAAAAAGTTGAAACAGGTATTTCGTATGC